TCTTCAACCTTATCCCTAGGAGAAACCGCTTTTTGCACAGAACAGACAAACAGACAGACAGACAGGGAAGAAGGCTGACAATTGCCTTCTAAACCTCCCGCTGCTGTGAAAAGAAGGGGAAAAGATAAAATCAATCCATGCAACAGGTGAGTTACACGTGCTGGGAAGGGACACAAATCTCCATACATGAAGGTAATTTATCAGTGCTTTTGAAGTCTCCACGTCTTCATGATGAATATTTTTAATCTGGTGATTCATAGATTCCAAGGCCAGAAGGGGACCACTGTGATCCTCTAGTCTGCCATAGGCCAGACAACTTCCCCAAAATAATTCCTGGAGCAGATCTTTTAGAAAACCATCAGGTCTGGATAATCAGGTATCTATAGCTAAGGATCTACCCGGAAGAACATTTCTTACCCCTGCCTAGAAAAATAGGGAAACCATCCCAGCTTTAAGACAAACAAGGGAACGATTCCTGGCCGCGACAAGAGAATGTAGTGTTGGTGAGAAAGGTGCATCCTGTCTCCAACTGCTTCAGAGGAAAGCACAAGAACCCCAGCAGTTTAATGAACCTAGGAAAAGCTACTCCCTAACCCCAGCGAGTTGTCGGCTTCTACCCTGAAGCATGAGCATTTAAACCACTTCTATACTTCCTATTTCCTATTTCATGATGCTGTGGATGTTCTCACCATCCAGCTCACCTTTCTTTTGAACCTTACCAAGCTCTTGGCCTCAAGGATATATCGGTGGCAGTGAATTCCACAGACTTCCTCAAGCTGCCCTTCTTCCAATGTGCTTCACTCCAGGAGTACAGAAGGACCTCGCAAAAGTGGAAGAGTAGAATTCTGTGGTTAAACAGAGGACTTCAGTTTTCAGAACTATCACCTCACACTTACCTATCTAGTCTTTCTTATTACCATATTTATCTAATCTAGTCTAGCTATCACCACGTTCTCATCATCGTGATACTCAACACACTTCTTTTCACCAGCACTCAATTCTCTTAAATGTAATAGTACTGAATATCTTCCATGCTGGTGTGTTGTAGGATTCACAGCTAAGCTTTATATAAAAAAATTAAATTAGGATGATTTTCTCAGTGAAAAGCTTGAATTCACACGTTATCTGCACATGCTTAGGAAGCCAGGGAAGATAATAAGAAAACCCTCAATCACGCCATCACTTTAAAAGAGATTCTTTCAAGGGCAGCAGTGGGTCACCAAGCCGTGGACTCCAGACATTAATATCCCAAATGGACAGGACTGCCAGTTTAGAAGAATCAATTTTTTAGCAAATAACCTGTCACCCAGAGGCACCTGGTCAGACGGTCTCATATCTAATAAGACTGTGATCTGTTTTTTGTTTGTTTTTCTTTTCTTCTTCTTGGCTCAGATCCTCAGTGGTGTAAATCAGCAATAGAGCTACATCTCTTTAAACAGCTGCGCATCCAGCCCTGCACTCCGCCTTTGTTACAAATCGGGGTTCAAGAGATTCTTGGCAAAAAGAAGCAAACAAACGTCTTCTTGCTCATTTAAATATCTCAAGGCCAACACCAATGCATTGTGGGAATTATTCAAATGAGCTTTTTAGAAGAGTAGAAACAAGACAATTAATGCAACAGTTAAACATTTTTTAATGCATTGAGATTGTAAGAACACTGCTGGTTTGTAGTTAGATTAATTGCTTCAGGGCTCATAATGACTGGGCCTGATTCTGACTTCACTTAGGGCCCAATTCTACTAACGCTTTGGGCCAGATACCAATCCCCTTACTGACATGAATGGGATTCTTTACTACCTGACTTAAGAGAGGCATGATGTGGCCTCTAACCATCAAGGTCCAAGGGACTTACTCATGTGAAGTTACTCTATTTGGTGAGGTTTATTTGTCTGAAAGGGCTAATCAGTTGTCAGGATGCAGAGGTACTTCACCAGGGTAAATCAGGAATAAATCCACCAAGGTCAACAGAGTTATTGGAATGTGAGATCAAATAAGGCCTACCAGGTTAGATTCTAGCACCCTTACTCATATTAAATAGTACCCAGTTAGCCTGCGAATAGGGTCATCAAAACTGATGGGATCACTCAGGCAGTACTTCTCATGATTCTAGCCAACATAGTTGACGTCTATAGTTATAAGCTATGCATCTGATTCTGTTTTACATTACTGACGGAGTCACTTGCCCTCTCATTCTCTTGAAAGAAGGGAGTTCAGACTGAAGATTTATCCAACTTCCAATGAACGCTTTACCCTTCAAACATTCTCCATAACTGTTATTAATGGGTTTGCTAATTACCGACACTATTTGTGTTTGGCCAGTTTTGACCACCCAGAATCCCCTCCTCTTAGGGTTTAATTTTGTTTGTCTTTTTTTTTTAAATAGTAAAAATATATTTTACCAGTTATCAGAAGAGCAATGCTAACCCAGATAAAAACCAAATTATAGATCAAGCCGGGTAACCCACATTCATCTTCCAATGGAAGAGACGAGCACAGTTATGATCTTAATCAGACTTTGTCTCCAATTACTTTCATCTGTGGATCCCAGTGTATGATGTGGACACTGATTAAGCCTCACAACCTCCCCCTTGAAGTATTCAGATCCCTGTTTGCAGATGGCAGAACTGGGCCACAGCGGGGTGAAGTAACTGACCCCAGGGAACAGGGCAATGGTGTGATAGCAGCCCCATTTATGGCTTCCTCCTGAACATCTCTGTCCAGTGGCAAGATGGAATATTAATAATAATAACTATCTATGGCAGGGTTTCTTGCACCTTTCTCTGAAGCAGCTGGTACAGGCCCCTTCTGGTGGCAGGACACTGCACTATACGGATCCCTGATTTGAAACAGCCTGGCAGCTCCCATGTTCCTATGGGCTGATCTGTGGGGTGTATAGAGATGGGCAGGGCACAAACTAAATCTTGGGGAAGCTTGGATCTGATACCAAGCTGAGCACTTCGGGCTCATCTCTAAGATACTGAAAACATTAGAGGTACCAGGGCTTATTTGTTGCTGTCTGTTTGGTGGGGTTTATTTGTCTGAAAGGGCTAATCAGCTGTCAGGAAATTGTTCAAATCTATTCAGATTAGGCAGCGTGATTTGTGTTTCAGTGGCAGTGTACATTCAGCTAACAAATTCCGAGCCAGATCCTAGCGTACATCTGGAGTAACTCCACTAAAGTGCATGGGCTTGCTCCAGGTTTACTCCAATATAACTGGGAGCAGACTATGGCCTTTTACGTTTGGTGCGGAGGATGCATTTATCTCCTATTTTCCATAATTCAGTCTGTCTTCATTGTGTGCTGAAACAGTCTAGGCCAGATTCTGATCTCATTTGCATTAGGTTAACTCCACTCATTTTAATGGCGCTACTCTGGATTTACAAATAAAAGAGAACAGAATTTGATCCATTCTAACAGAACATTTTTTGTGGCGGACATTAAATCCCTGGGGTGAAATCCTGGCCCCACAAAAGTCAATGGGAGTTTTGCCATCGACTTCAATAGAGCCAGGATTTCACCCAGATTGCCAAACTGGTCCTTAAACTGAGCATTGAGTTTCCATCCATCAATAGACAGTGGATAAATAGCAGGGGTGATTTTGGGGATGAATTATTAGTAGTTGCAAAGCTCCTTTGAAATGCTGCAAGGCGCAGTGCTAAAGAAATGCAAAATATTGTTTATTTTCAGCGATTGAGGTTCCATTGTGCTGGTCGCTGTATATACAGAGAGTGAAATCCCTTCCCTGGCTGGAAAAAGCTTACAACCTTAAAAGGGGGAGAGAGAAAATAGAAGCAGAGAGTGGAAGTCACTTTCCAAAGGTCACACCACAGATCAGTGGCAGAGCCAGGAACAAAATCCAGGTTTTCTGATGCCTAATACAGGGCTCTAACCACTAGATCACATTGTCTTCTCATCTCTATGTATTGAAATATGGAGAGGGGGGCACACTACACCGCTGAGGGCAGGGAAACCAAACATTACAGGCCTTAATCCCCTTTCCACTGCTCTGGCTGTGTAAAAAGGTCTTACGGCCACTTTGCACTACTGGGCGGGTGGGTCAAGTGGCCAGAGGGTCACTGCTTTTCCTGCTTATAGTCAATTCTTTTTAAAAGTCATTATAATGTCAGAGGGGGCCGGACTTTTAGCTCATGGTGCATGCACTGTTTATAACCCAGATTACCCATGCTGCCTTTCACCTCTTACAAATCATTCTCCCCTGATGCCTTTTCCCCCCTCCTGGGCCCTTGTTCGGTTGTAACTGGAAATGTTAGGAGTGATACACTGATTCTTTGGTGGATAAGGCTGGCTCTGTCTGGGTGGAGAGATTGGGTTATTACTTATAACTAGGTTATCCCCAGCAATGTTTCCAATCAAGTGGATTTACTCCTCTCCATTGAAGCTGCTTATTTCTCTGCTGGCGGGGAAAATACGGCTATTTAGAGGCGTTTATGGCGGCTGCAAAGGCCTTTCCAAGCAGAAGTATGAGCTACGTAGCTGTAGCTTCTAGCAAGTCACCGAGCCCATTTCATCCATCTTGTTTCACGACCTCTTGCTCCTGTTCTCTGCACTTCTTTACAAGCCAGCATTTCAGTGTGATGCGTGCTGGGATTTTTTTCTACCTGAGGCTGACAAGAACTCCACAAGCCCAGCTAACCCTTAAAACGCTTGTCTCTGGCTGTCAGCCATAACATATGCATCAAGAAACACAGGTGGGCCAATTTAGGCCCCAAAGGTGGGTTTTGATGTGCAAACAAGCTGCCTGATTTTCCACGAGCCTGCGCCTTGGGCACCCATTGACACCAATGCAAAGTGGGTACAAAATGCTCCTAAATCAGACTCTTGTCACAGCACCCCCCCACTTGGCCCTGATTTTGAACAGGTGTAAAAGAAGACACAGGGCAATGGGGAAGATCTGAAGAAATACTTCTTCCACGTCCATTTGGGTTTTTGTTTCATTCCAATGAAGCGGGGTTTGTTGTTTTTTAAAGTATCCGTTTATTTATTTAAATAGTCTTCTGAATTTAAACGTTAGCACCACACATGGGAACACAGCAATGGACATATGATCAAATAAATAATGTTGCAATAGCACTTAAAAGGCTATCAGGGTCAGGGGGGTTATTGTGTACAAGAGAACGGTAGATAGATTAATTGAAAACATATCTGTCTGTCATCATATTATCCGAGCATCACTCAGGCATTGATGCTGTATGGGGATACTGGCAATTATCCTATGGCATAGGCCTGCGACTTACAGGACAGATCCATGAAAAACCACAGCTATCATCAAATGTTTAGGAAGGTAGCAATCTTGGCCTGTCTATTAAGTTTAGATTCATACATATTATTGAGGCTCACAAGTGCCTAAAGGCAGCTCTACCTATAAAATAGAAAGACACATGGGGTTTGGTTCTCGTTAACACTTCATAATGAGCAGCAGTTGAGTGGCACCCATAGCACAGTGGCAAAGGATGGCATAAATACTTATTTTTGACTGTGCTCCCCAAAGTTTTTATTCCACCATGCAACTGCATTCCTACTAGATCCTACTTCTCCATTTTAGCGGGTAACAGCAATCTGATACAGATTATACTATGCAGGATATACCGTGAGCCTCACAAAAGGAGAGCTGTCACCCAGAAGGACGTCTTCCTGGTTTCGGTGTGACTTGGCTTTGGACGACTGAATGAACAAGTGGTGCTGCTCAGGATGAACATTGACATAACAAAGATGGAGGCGGAAATTTGGTCAGCCAACAGGAAAGGGCCACAGCCCTCCTGAGACAGCGACTCTGAGGTAACATGCACAGCTGCCCTGACTGAGAGAGCCCCTGGGAAGTAACATGGCACAGATGCCCTGAGTGAGACAGCCTCTGTGAGGTAACGTGGCACAGACGCCCTGACAGAGAGCCCCTGTGAGGTAACTTGGCACAGACGCCCTGACAGAGAGCCCCTGTGAGGTAACATGGCACAGCCACCCTGACAGAGAGCCCCTGTGAGGTAATGTGGCACAGCCCCTGTGAGGTAACGTGGCACAGACGCCCTGAACGAGAGAGCCCCTGTGACATAATGTGGCACAGCCACCCTGAGCGAGAGAGGCCCTGTGAGGTATCGTGGCACAGCCACCCTGATTGAAAGGGCTCCTGTGAGGTAATGTGGCACAGCCTTTGTGAGGAAACATGGCACAGCCACTGTGAGGTAATGTGGCACAGGCACCTGAGTGAGAGCCCCCCTGTGAGGTAAAGTGGCACAGACACCCTGAGTGAGAGCCCCTGTGAGGTAACGTGGCACAGACACCCTGAGCGAGAGAGCCCCCGTGAGGTAACGTGGCACAGCCCCTGTGAGGTAATGTGGCACAGTCCCTGTGAGGTAACGTGGCACAGACACCCTGAGCAAGAGAGCCCCTGTGAGGTAACATGGCACAGACACCCTGACTGAGAGCCCCTGTGAGGTAACATGGCACAGGCACCCTGAGTGAGAGTCCCTGTGAGGTAACGTGGCACAGCCCCTGTGAGGTAATGTGGCACAGTCCCTGTGAGGTAACGTGGCACAGACACCCTGAGCGAGAGAGCCCCTGTGAGGTAACATGGCACAGACACCCTGACTGAGAGCCCCTGTGAGGTAATGTGGCACAGACACCCTGAGCAAGAGAGCCCCTGTGAGGTAACGTGGCACAGCCCCTGTGAGGTAATGTGGCACAGACCCTGTGAGGTAATGTGGCACAGACGCCCCAAGTCAGATCCTGTGAACAAGCTAAGATGGCACAGCCACTGTGTTGTACTAAACAGCGCCTGTACGAGAAGCTGGAGTATTCCCAGGGCCATCAATGCAATGTCACTGATTAGAAGGCAGGGTAGGAAATTAAACGAAGCAGATGAATTAAAGCCAGACTCCACAGGCTGCATCTGTTCCTCCATTCCCTTTGGGTGCAACACTGATATAGCTTTAAAAAGTAAATTTAGTGCTGAGGAAAGCTGCCAAACTGATGGCCCTGGAGACTGAAGCTCTCAATGTTTCCCTAACTTGGGTAAAGCAGAGAGGCACGCAGCGACGGTTCCAGCTTCCTATCAGCATGTCTCAGCCTGGACTGCGTCTTCTGGGACAGGCAGCTAGGTGGGACTGTCCTGCCTGGGCTTGTTACCTCCATAGAGAGGTTTAGTTGGGGGTTACTGTAGCTCAGAGCTGGAGGGAGTTGAACACAGCAGCAGTGTTCCTGATCATCCGATCTGAGGTGTCGCAGCAACAGTCGGACCCCAGAGACAAACAAATCTGACACAAACATCCACGGTGCAGAGTGCAGACCAGCAAACACCTACGCCCCATGACGATACCGGCGTGGAATGCGGACTGGAGTATGCACACCCTGCTGCTTCCTTGCCTTTGCCTTGTCCACACCTATAATTTACAGAGAAAAAGGGGAAGATCCATTTAGGAGTCATTTGAATGATACAAAAACAACAAGGAGTCTGGTGGCACCTTAAAGACTAACAGATTTATTATAAATAAATCTGTTAGTCTTTAAGGTGC